GGGCAACGGGCAACTGGCGCACCAAGCTGGGGGAAGCCTGGAAGGCGTTCCCCCACGCACCGCACTTCCCTCCAAGAACCCCTTCCTCCACAAACCCCCTCCCTCCTCCCCCCTGCTTCCCTTGGCCCCATCCCCTTCCCCTCCCGGCCTTATCTCCTCTTTCCCCCCACAACCTTTTCTCCCCCAACAAAAGATCATGATTAAAGCCCGTGGAATGAAGGCGGTGGCGCGGAGGGCGCGCTGCCGCGGTACTCGCAGGAGGAGCTGCGGCGGGCGACGGGCGACTGGGCACCAAGCTGGGGAAGGCGGCTTCGGCGCCGTCTACAAGGGCATGCTGCTGCTGCCTCAAGGGGGCGAAGGGGACGGGGACGGGGGAGATGGCAGGGGGAGGGGATGGAAGGGGATGGGGAGGATGGGGGGGGGGGGGGGGGGGTTGAGGAGAGATTGGAGGGTGGAAGTGGAGGTGGGTGGAGGGAGCGGTTTGGTTGCGGAGGCGGTGCAGATGGCTTGACAGAGGGCGATGTGCACGGGCAACTGAGCAGCTGCTGGTGAGTATAGGCCATGTGCTGGAGCTTATGCCATGCTGCTGTTCCCTTATGAATGCTGCTGTTGAGCTTATGCCATGCTGCTCCTGAGCTTATGCCTGCTGCTGTTGGCTTATCCATGCTTCTGTTGGTGAGCCGTCTTTCCCCCCATGCTGTTGGTTAGCATAGCCATGCTTCTGTTGGTGAGCCTTTGCCTGCCATGCTGCTGTTGAGCTTATGCCATGCTTCTGTTGGTGAGCCTTTGCCTGCCATGCTGCTGTTGAGCTTATGCCATGCTTCTGTTGGTGAGCCGTTGCTGCCATGCTGTTGGTTAGAATATGCCATGCTTCTGGTGGTGAGCCTTTGCCTGCCATGCTGCTGTTGAGCTTATGGATGCTTCTGTTGGTGAGCCTTTGCCTGCCATGCTGCTGTTGAGCTTATGCCATGCTTCTGTTGGTGAGCGGTTGCCTGCCAGCTGTTGGTTAGCATATGGCATGCTTCTGTGGTGAGCCTTTGCCTGCCATGCTGTTGTTAGCATATGCCATGCTTCTGTTGGTGAGCCTTTGCCTGCCATGCTGGAGCGATAAGCCAGTTCCTCCTGACACTTTCGGGTGCACGTTTCATGTGCAACTGCTCTGCTCCTCATGCTTCACATCACACACACTTTTGGGGATTCACGAAAGTGACTCGCTTCATGTACACCTGCTCTGCTCCTCATGCTTCACACTCACCTCCTTCTGCCCAAGTTAACTTGACCTGCTTTCTCAGCCATTCATTGTCCCTTCCATTGCCTTTTCCACCCCCCTGACCCCCCACCCCTCTCCCCCTATTCTCAGACGGAGATCATGGTCATCACGGCTCTCTGCCATTGTCCCTTTCCCTTCCCCTTCCCCTCTCCCCCTCCTCTCTTCTCCTCCCCAACTCCCCTCCTCCCTACCTTCTCAGACAGAAATCATGGTGATGACGACTCTCCGGCTATTAACCTGATGTGTTATTGCTACCCGATTTACCCGCCCCTCTCCACTACTCTCTCCTCCCTCCCCCCTCAGACAGAGATCATGGTGATGACGGCTCTCCGCCATCCCAACGTGCTGCGGCTGCTGGGGATTGCCATGTGGGGGCAAACCATTTCCATGGTCTCTGAGTTCGTCCCGGGCGGGGATGTTTCTCAGCGGTTAGAGAAAGGTAGGGTGGGGTGGAATGCGGTGGAATGGGGTGGTCATGTGCGCACATGATAGGCAAACCATCTCCATGGTCTCTGAGTTCGTCCCGGGCGGGGATGTTTCTCAGCAGTTAGAGAAAGGTAGGGTGGGGTGGAATGCGGTGGAATGGGGTGGTCATGTGCGTACATGATAGGCAAACCATCTCCATGGTCTCTGAGTTAGTTTTGGGTGGGGGTGGGGATGTTTCTCAGCGGCTAGGGGAAGGTACAGAGGGGTGCGGTGGAATGGAGTGCAGTGTGGTGGAATGGGCAGAGCATGTGCACACATGATGGGGCAAACCATTCCAATGGTCTCTGAGTTCGTCCCGGGTGGATGTTTCTCAGCAGTTAGGGAAAGGTACAGAGGGGTGGAAAGTGGTGGAATGGGGTGTAATCCGGTGGAATGGGGTGAGCATGTGCACACACACGTTATGGGGCAAACCATGTCAGTGGTCTTTGAATTCTTCCCGAGCAGGAGTGTTTCTCAGTGTCTTTTGAAAGGTAATGCGTTCGATGTTGTGTTGTGAGGTGACGTGTCGTCATGATGCAAAGGGTTCTAAGAAAAAGGGCGTCCCATGTGTTGCACCCATCATGCGATGCTGCACCCATCATGCGATGCTGCACCCATCATGCGATGCTGCACCCATCATGCGATGCTGCACGTCACTTCACAACATATGTGTTGCACCCATGTGTTGTGAGGTGTCGTGTCGTCCCATGTGTTTTTTTGTCTTTTTTCAACTCGATGGAAGTTTCGCACTGCCTCTCGGCTGTGTCGTAGGAGATTGAGAAGGAGCGCCAGGTGCGATGTTGTGAGGTGTGGTGTGGCATGGTGTGATGCGGTGCACATACTCTCTTTCCCCCCACCCTTTTCTGTCTCTCTCCTTCTCCCACCCCCCTCCCTTCTCTTTTGTCTGTTGGGTGTGCAAGCAGCAGCCAAGGGCATAGAGCCCTTTCCCTGGAAGGACCGGCTGAGCATAGCGGTGGGGAGTGTGGCGGGGCTAGCAGCGATCCACAAGGAGGGCTTTATCCACCGTGATTTCAAAGCTGCCAACGTGCTTCTAACGAAGGTGGGTCATGCCAAAATGAGTCACTCAATGTGCGTCTAACGAATATCCTTTGAATGAGCTTCTAAGGCAGTGGAGTCCTGGTAATGTGCATCAAACCAAGGTGACTCATGCCAACGTGCTTCTCACCAAGCTCTGACTCCCTCCCAGATGGCAAAATATCCTCTCTTTTTTCCTTTTCGACCTTTTGTGTCACTCTATTGCATGTGCCCTCCCAGGACCTCGTGCCAAAGGTGGCGGATTTTGGGTTAGCCAAGACATGCCAGGACAGGACACATGTCACGACACGAGTGGCCGGCTCGCAGGGCTACATCGACCCCTCATACTTTGAGACAGGTGGGGTGCTTTTCCGCCCGCCGATGCATCTGTGTTTCTTGAGACGTCTCAAAACCCGACTTTTATCACGTCGCCGGCTCCCAGGGCTACATCAACCCTTCGTATTTTGAGACAGGTGGGGTGCCTTCCAGTTTACCAATGCATCTGTCTTTCATCCTCTGGGCACTTCACACTACTTTTTTGAGACGTCTCAAAGATCGCAGGGCTACATCGAACCTTCGTATTTTGAGACAGGTGAGGTCCTTTTCAGCCCACCGGTGCATCTGTGTTTCTTCTTCGGGTGCCTTTACTACTGCCACCGCTGGTGCTGGCACTTCTTGACTCGTAATTGAAGGGCAGCAGTACGTGAAGGCGACGCTTGAGCAACAGGATCAACCGTGAGAAAATAGTGGTAAAAAAGCAGATCTCAAAAACGCCTTGTCTTGAAAAGAGCCTTCTTGCGTAAAAGGCCTACTGCCACCGCTGGAGCTGGCACTGGTGCTGTCACCATCATCTTCCAACCTCCCCCCTCCAACCCTCCCCTCCCCTCCTGTTCCGTCCCCTACCCTCCGCTATCCTCCCCTCCCCTCCCCTCCCCTTCCCCCCACCTCACCACCTATCAGGCTTACTAACAGAGCACTGTAACATCTTCGCGTGGGGCATTTTCCTGCTAGAACTCCTCTTGAGCTGCTGCGACCTTTGAGTCGACTTGAAAATCCCCCTACCCTCCCCTCCTTTCCCCTACTCACCACCCACCAGGCTTACTGACAGAGCACTGTGACACCTTTGCGTGGGGCATCTTCTTGCTGGAACTCCTCTCGGGCTGCTGTGTAAATGACCGACCGTTTTCACAACTGCAAAACCTCGCCACCGATCCCAATCTCTCAGACTACTCCCAAGTGGTGGACAAGAGTCTGGAGGGGCAGTGGAGCGAGGAGGAGGTGCGAGTGGTGGTGTTTGCGATATGTGATGCGATTCAGCCTGATTGGGGAAGCCGACCCACCACAAAGCAATTGCTAGAAAGATTAAGAAAGATTGCACCAGAGTAGTAGCAACTAGGAAGTGTTGATGTAAATATTGAATCTTAGTATTGTAAGTGCTGCTCGAAGCCACATAATGCGTGTACACGTTTATTTCAAGATTTTGCATGCGCTGCAAACTCCCTTCGGTCAAGCCAGCCAATTGGAGAGCATGCTTTTGCCTCGCCTTGCAGCAAGCACCGCCCACCGATTTCTCCAGCGCGCCCCGCCACAAGCCGCTTCCAAGCTGAGGAAGGTGGCTACGAGCCACGTCTGCCTAGCCGGAGCTCCGTCTCTGGTTGCCTTTTCCGAGCCAACTGCTCTGCGCACTCACCTCACCAAGGCTGTGTAGATATCTGACCCACAACATCCCGAACCTAATCGTCCAGCCGCCAAAGAATCTCGGCTGGTGAGGGGAGAGGCTAGTGTGTTACGTTCGGTGTGTGGAGCCCAGGCGCCAAAGCTAGTCAGTTCGGTTCGGACGTGGCTGGTCTCATCAGCGACACGTCAATCTCTTGGAATCGGGGGACCAGGTTTCGGAAGATCAAGACCAAAATGGGTGCGCCTGTGGGGGAATGAAAGCAGCCATAAGAAAAGCACAGGCGTGTGGGAAAGGAAGGTTTGCCTGATCCTTCAGACAAGGACACTCGAGGTCCTCGCCCGTGCCTCTCACAATCCCCTACATAGCCATTGTTCCCATATTTTCAGCTCAAAATCCTTATGTTCAGCTGGTTCAGGTTCGCGCCTTCGTAGCTCTCAGATTAAAAATTGAGCTGTACCGGTTTTGAACACTTTGTATTGCTTGTTTCCCCCTGCACCTGCGGAACCATGACCCGCGCCGTGCCTCGCGGCATTCTGTCGTTCGCCATCCCGTTACTCCTGCTCGCAGTCGTTGCGTCCGCGCAGCAGATCTGTCCGTTCACAGGCAAGCCGCCAACGAAGCCCGTGAAGCCGCTGTACCGATGCGTGGCTGAGAGCGAGCTCGCGTGCTGCTCCGCGTGCGACGACTGGGTCACCGCGGCGACGGTGCTCGGACAGAACGGAACGAGAATCCTGTCCACGCTCTTCTCTCCAGGCACCACATTTGAAGCGCTGGACAAGTTCAAGGCCACGCCGGTAAGCTTGAACCAGCGTGCGCCTTTTTCCTATTTCATTAAATTTCGCAAATATTATATATTAAATTAATATATCGAGAACATTTGAAGTTCTGGACAAATTTAAGGCCACGCCAGTAAGCTTGAATCATCGTGTTCGTCTTTTGATCCTTTTGTACCAGCGTTACATTGCCCAGCTTTCTGGCCACTCAATGGCGTCTTGCTATGATGGTTCCGAGCCAATTTAAAAGGAGCATTACAATGAATTTGGTACCCTTTTTTTAATGTAAATAAAGGATCGGTTTTGTAGGCGGTTTTGTAAATTTTTCAAAATCCGCGTTAACGCGTTTCATCCTATACCTGGTTCATCGCATGCATCGTCCTCCTCTCCCCCCTCCCTCCCCGCCCCCAACCCACAACCCCCCCCCCCCATCCCCGCCTCTTCTTCCCCTTCCCCCCCTCCCCCAACCCCCTCCCCCAACCCCCTCCCCTTCCCCCCCCCTCCTCCCCCCCCTCCCCCTCCCCCCTCCACCCGAGTTCAAAGGGCTTTACTGCGCGATACTGTTTGACGGCACGTGGAAGTACCAACTTCTCAGAATCACCCCCTCTCTCTCCCCCCTACCCTCACCTCGTTCTTCGCCTCTTCCAGTTTTGCGGGTTCCTCGCAGGCGGGAGCGACACGTGTCTGCAGCTGATTGAGGGACTCTACTATGCCATCACGTGCGATGCAGGCGCGAGCAAGTACCTCCCGATCGACCTCTCAGAAAAAAACCCTTCTCTGCGCCCTTCCCCCGCGCCCTTCCCCCCACCAGTTCTGCGGATTCTTGGCGGGCGGAAGCGACACGTGTCTGCAGCTGATTGAGGGGCTCTACTGCGCCATCATGTGCGACCCGGGCGCGAGCAAGTACCTCTCGTTCGAGCTCGCGCCGTCGGGGAAGCTCGCGGACAGCAACGGCACGATCCGCATCTGCAACGACTTCTCGAACCGCGTGTACGACGCGTGCCAGTCGCTCGCGTTCCCCGGCGTCGCGCTCACCATCGCCAGCTTGATTAAAAACCCCGCGGTATGTGTATTTGTGCCGCCTAAAAAGTCGTCTCTTTACCAGCCGCTCACCATCGCGAGCTTGCTTAAGAACCCTTCGGTACGTGCTGCAGCTACCAATTGTAGTTTCACCCGAACCGAACCAACTTTCCCCACAAATGTAACTGCGAATTCGTTGTCCAGCTATCCGATTTCTCCTTTCTGGCTGCGATACGCGGTTCCGTTACCCGTCTATGTCCTCCCAACGATCACTCTAGAGAGTCATGGACCCCTCTTACTGGCGCTACATCCCCTTCACATTCCCCAACACCCCCCCTCCTCCCCCCACTCCCCCCAACTACCCTTCCTCCCCCCTTCCCCATTTCCCCTGCCCGCCTCCTCCTTTCCCCTCCCTCAGCCTCTGTTGTTCTGACCATTTCTCTCCCTTCAAGCCTACACTCTGTGCCTTCTTCTGCCGTCACTTCATTTTCCATCACATTTCCTAACACCTCCTTCTCACTAATGATTTTCTGACCATTTGCTTTCGCCCTCCGTTGCCGCTTCCTCTTCCCCTCCGCTGTCCAATTTTGTACCCACATAATTTTATTCTCTCTCCCTTCAAGCCTACACTCTGTGCCTTCTTCTGCCGTCACTTCATTTTCCATCACATTTCCTAACACCTCCTTCTCACTAATGATTTTCTGACCATTTGCTTTCGCCCTCCGTTGCCGCTTCCTCTTCCCCTCCGCTGTCCAATTTTGTACCCACATAATTTTATTCTCTGCAAACCCCCACGCATTTCTCAGCACCTCTCAACTATAACTATCTCTCTTTTCCCCTTACCCCAGCCACTCCTCCACCTCCATCTCCCCTTTATCCCCTTCCCTCTCCCTGAAATAAATCGTACGCACTCTGTCTTCCCAAAGATCCCTGTCACTCATTGTGACCCCGCTTGCTGGTACTTTATCAATTACAGGACATGTCCTGCCACACATTCGCCAACACCTTCCAATCATGTTTTTCTTACCATTCCCTTCCCCCCTCCCCTTGTACTCCTCCCCGTCCCCTCAAACCCTCACCCCTTCCCCCCCCACCCTCTCCCCTTCCCTCACTCTTCAAAATCCTGCACATGCTGTCCTCCCAGAAATTTATGTCACTGGTTGTCACTCCGCTTGCTGGTGCGGCAACACCCCTTGCATACGTTCAAATCCCCCGTCCTGTAGCTTTCTGACCCATTCCCATTTCCTTTCCCCCTGCCTCCCCCTCCCTCCCCCATTCCCTTCCCCCCGCCTCCCCCCTCTCTGCCTGCGAATCCTTGCACATTCTTTTCAGAAATTTCTGTCACTCGTCGTGACTCCGCTTGCCGGCACCGCAACCCCCTAAACACCCTCAACACCGAGCTAGTTCCCGCCGAAAACGGAACGGACAGTTGCTTCCTGACAGCGCCAGGGGATAAATACGCGCAAACCCCCCTCTGCTGCGATAAACTAACGGGTTTCCCCATGGAGTGCCCGAAAAACCCGAAATTCTCTAACGTGTCAGAAGTGCTTCCGTGGGTGGTGGACCGGGCTGTGCCTGCCACGTGTGCTGCGACTTCAAACAATCCTGGAAATTTTGTGCCTGAGCCAATACCCTCTGTTCCGGCGCCCAACGGGACCAATGCCAATGGTTCGGCAACCAATGGTTCGGCAACCAATGGTTCGACGCCCAGTGGTTCGGCAGCACCCACTGGTTCAACTCCCACTGGTTCAACTCCCACTGGTTCAACTCCCACTGGTTCAACTCCCACTGATTCAACATCAAACACTACAGGCTCTGGGGAAAAGAGCGCGGGGTTGAGTTTGGTGCTTAGGGGTGGAGCGTGGTGGGGATGGTGGCCTGCTGCGCTTGCTGCGGTGGCGCTCCATGTGGTTTTGTTCCATTGATTTTTGGAGTCGATTTCTGGCAGGTTGCTACTCGAGCTTGAATTGGGTTGGGTTGGATTAGACACTTGCCTGAAGCATGGAACGATTTGCTAGGGTTTGACTGTGGAGTCAATTTGAATTGGAACATCAGTTGCAGTGTTTTCTTATAAGGATATCAACTGTGGGTTGATGAAGCCTCGAAAGTGCTCTCTCGAAAGTGTAGCCTCCACAGCGTAGCCTCGAGAGTGCATGACGCTAAGGTAAGGACGCGTCAACTCCCGCTGAATTAGGCGATCGATCGTGCAATTTCAATCAGACACCGCACTGGAAACCTGCTACTAGAGTTCAAAACTTTCCAGACCATTTTAAAAGCCATCAAAATTCGATCCTGCGCAGGATCGATCGTGCCAATCTGATGGGAGTTGACGCGTCCTATTTGTGTAGGCCCTCAGAGTGTAGCTCGAAAGGTGTAGCCCCTGAGAGTGATGTAGCCCCAAGAGTGTAGCCCCAAGAGTGTAGCCCCAAGAGTGTAGCCCCAAGAGTGTAGCCCCAAGATTGTAGCCCCAAGAGTGTAGCCCAGCGTTAGACTAGTATAGTGTCTGGAAAAGACGAGGACCCATTGTTGGATGCAGGCTGAATCTCCAAGATGCTTGTTATCACATTGTACAGCTGCATGGGGCAGTAAGATGGGTAGAGAGAGATGAAGGAAAGAGAAATAAAGAATCCATTGTTGGGTGCAGGCTCAATCTCCAAGATGCTTCTAATCACATTGTACAGCTGGACGGGGCGGTAGGATGCATAGAGAGAAATGCACGATGGCGAGATACCAAGGGTAGAGAGCGATGAAGGAAAATGAAGGGTCCATTGAGATAGAATGCCACATTCGAGTCGACCTAGAGAGAGCGATGAAGGAAAATAAAGGGTCCATTGTTGGGTGCGGGGCAGGCTCATCGCTTAGAATGCTTGTTATCACATTCGAGTCGACCTCTTGAGTCGACTAAAACGAGAGCGATGAAGGAAAATAAAGGGTCCATTATTGGGTGCGGGGCAGGCTCAATGTTTAAGATGCTTGTTATCACGCTGTACAGCTGCAGGGATGCAGGCGATGGATATGGGGAGGAGATGATGGTAGAGAGGATGAAGGGTTGAGAGGATGAAGGGTTGAGAGGATGAAGGGTTGAGAGGATGAAGGGTTGAGAGGATGAAGGGTTGAGAGGATGAAGGGTAGAGAGGATGAAGGGTTGAGAGGATGAAGGGTTGAGAGGATGAAGGGTTGAGAGGATGAAGGGTTGAGAGGATGAAGGGTTGAGAGGATGAAGGGTTGAGAGGATGAAGGGTTGAGAGGATGAAGGGTTGAGAGGATGAAGGGTTGAGAGGATGAAGGGTTGAGAGGATGAAGGGTAGCGAGGATGAAGGGTTGAGAGGATGAAGGGTTGAGAGGATGAAGGGTTGAGAGGATGAAGGGTTGAGAGGATGAAGGGTAGAGAGGATGAAGGGTAGAGAGGATGAAGGGTTGAGAGGATGAAGGGTTGAGAGGATGAAGGGTAGAGAGAGATGAAGGTTGGGGAAAATGAAGACTCATATTCATCGTTGAACAATCACCGAAGATTCGTCCACGCATGTGTGCATCCTCCTGAAGATTGAACCCACGTTTCAACATTCTCTGGCAACTCATAGTCACCTATAGATTTTCCAATCACCTAAACGATTTAACCTGTTGTTGCGCTGTCTAGCCACCCTAAGAACATTCTCTGAAATCTCACCTCTGTGTTCCTGAAGGTGGGTATTCTGCGGTGGGAGGCGAAGCGCGGCCCTCGGGCCATGAAGATGGAGCGCATGGAGGGAAGGCGGTTGTCGTAGCCGTGCATGCCCCCATCCCATGCTGACGAGTGGTGGTATACCACCGAGTAGCCCTCATCTGCCAGCGCCAAGATAGCCTGGCAAAAGCGGAAATGGTTAAGGGTGAGAGGCGTTGTAGAGAGATTAGGAGGAGCTTGGGTAGATACAACATGCAGCTCGGACAAAAGATGTGACTTATCACACACAATAAGAAGATGGTTCGATACGTTACGCAGATTGTCACTCTGACCAGACAACGAGCTGTGAAGAATCGTTAAGGAGTCATGCAAGATCAACACGAATCAATGCTCCCCCCCTCCATCGCCTTCCTGATCGCCCCCACCTCCACCACCACCACCTTTTGAGACGCCCTAGAACTTACTGGTATTCTGTCGCTTCCCGAAAACTCAAACTCCGCAGGAAACTCCTCCCTCAAATACACCTTCAGCGCCTCTCCATTCACAATGCCCCCCCCTTCAATCGCCCTCCTCATAGCCCCCACGACTGCTGCCGCATCCATCCGAAAGTCCTGGCCGGCAGACCCCGGGCGGCGTTGCGCGTCTGTTTGCGGGAGGAAGATGCCGAGAAGCGGGTAGCTGAAGTCGATCCAAGCGGGGGAGAGGCCGGGGATGAACGGCTCGAACTGCTCCAGGGAGATGACTCGCGATTTGCATGTGGCCAGCATGCCATGGTCGCTCACTAGCAGCAGATTCACATCGTTGGTCATGCTCCTATAAGGAAGTTGAGGGGGAGGGAATAAATTTGGGAAACGGGAAAGGATGTTGGGAGGGGGGCTTCAGAGGCAGGTGGAAGGGACGGAAGCTGCTGGCACATGCTTCTCAAAGGGGCTGAGAGACGGGAGAGGCCCGGGATGAACGGCTCGAATTGCTCCAGAGAGATGACGCGCGACTTGCATGTGGCCAGCATGCCATGGTCGCTCACTGGCAGCACATTCACGTCGTTGGTTATGCTCTTACAAGGAAGTTCATGGACGGAAAAGAGGGGGTGGGGTGGGGTGGGGGGGGGGTTGGACGGGAGGGAGTGGATGGAGGGGAGTTGACAGGGATGGGGGTCCATCAACGCGCTTCACAGCAGCAGCAACCAGAGGCGTGTCCGGGCCTCCCTTGAACCCGCCCATTCGTCTCTCCCACTCTCGTCTGCTCTCTCCCCACTACCACCACCACCAGCTCCCACCTTACCTTCCCGCTGCCTCACCGCACCTGCCATCCATCCAGCCCAGTCAAAAGTCGCCCCAGCATGTCATCAACGCGCTTCACAGCAGCAGCAACCGGAGGCGTGTCCGGGCCTCCCTTGCACCCGCCCATTCGTCTCTCCCACTCTCGTCTGCTCTCTCACCACCACCAGCCCCGACCTTACCATCCCGCTTTTGAGAATTCTCAGAAGCTCTAACCTTACCTCCCCGCTGCCTCACCGCGCCTGCCATCCATCCAGCCCAGTCAAAAGTCGCCCCAGCATGTCATCAATGCTCTTCACAGCAGCAGCGACCAGGGACGTGTCCGAGCCTCCCAGGTGCGCAGCCTCCTATCGCCCCACTCTATTCCGTATACCCCACCCACTCACCTCCGATCCAAGGTGACTTTTGAGTCAACTCAAAACGAGGTGACTTTTGAGTCGACTCAAAAGTGACCAGGGGCGTGTCCGAGCCTCCCAGGTGCCCACCCTCCTATCGCCCCACTCTATTCCGTATACCCCACCCACTCACCTCTCATCCAGCCCCGTTAACAGGCGCGCCAGCATGCCATCAGCGCGCTTTACTGCCTCAGCAACCAGCGGCGTGTCCGTGCCTCCCAGGTAGTCACTTTCATCACCCATCTCACCCGCTTACCTACCTCTGGTCCAGCCCTGTCAAGAGGCGCGCCAGCATGCCATCAACGCGCTTTACTGCCTCAGCAACCAGCGGCGTGTCCCGGGCATCCCTTGTGGCCCTCCCATCTGTCACTCTCGCCCTCTCCCCACTCCCACCCACTCACCTTTGATCAAGCCTTGTCAAGAGGCGCCCTAGCATGCCATCGACCCGCTTCACAGCAGCAGCAACCAGCGGCGAGTCCGGGCCTCCCAGGTAGTCACTCCCATCGGCCATCTCACCCGCTCACCTCTGATCAAGCCCTGTCAAGAGGCGCCCTAGCATGCCATCGACCCGCTTCACAGCAGCAGCAACCAGAGGCGTGTCCGGGCCTCCCAGGTGCCCACTCTCGTCTGGCTCCTCCAAGTAGAGTGAGAGGAAGGAGGGGCGGAGGGGCGCAGGCAGGTCCAGCCATGCCAGCACCTGGTCCACTCGCTGTGTGAGGGGGAGGGAGAGGGGGGGGGAGTGGGGGTGAGGGGGCCAGGAGGAGACGTGAGTGGACGAAAGGACCTCTCTTGTGGCCACTTTCATCGGGCTTGTCTAGGTAGAGCGATTTTTGAGTCGACTAAAAAATCGCCTCATCACTTTCATCATCTCATCACTTTCATCGTCCCATCACTTTCATCGCCTCGTCGCTTTCATCGGGCTCGTCGAGGTAGAGCGATGATGGCGCGAGGGAGGGGGGACAGAGGGAAGAGGGAAGGTCCGGCCACAGCAATCCCTGGTCTACTTGCTGTGTGGGGAGGTCCGGCCACAGCAATCCCTGGTCTACTTGCTGTGCGGGGAGGTGCCAGCAGGTTAGCTTACCAGCAGGAATTAGTCAGATCAGACACGCATGGTGGTCGTTTTTGAGGCGCCTCAAAAACGACCTCAATTCTGTGCGGGGAGGTGCCAGAAAGTCAGCTAACCAGCAGGCAATAGTCAGACACGCATGGTCAGACACGCATGGTCAGACATGCACCCTTCCCTCCCCCCCATCTCTCCATCTTCCCCCTCTTGGTCCCCCCCTCCTCACGCCTTCCACCCCCACCAACCTGTTCAAATGGCATCGACTCGTTGTATTGCAGGCAGTAGTCTGACGGGCACGGCCAATCAGGTCGCGACACGTCAGAACCCGGCCAAAACACTGTTGCCGCCTGCAAGCCCTGCAAAAGTAACAACCAGAAAAGCAGAAAGCGAAAGGCCGACAGGGGAGAGGGGAAGAAGGGGGGATGGGCGAAGGGGAAAGGGGGAAAAAGGGGAAAAAGGGAAGGGGAGACGGGTGAAAGGGGGGAAGGGGAGAAGGGGCATTGGGGAAGGGAGGAAGGAGAGAAGGAGGCAATGTGGAATGGGGGAAGAGGGGAGGGGAGGAAAAGTGAGAGGAAGGAGGGAAGGCTGGAAAGGGGGAAGGCGTGAACAAGTGAGAGTAGTCTAAAAAAATCGTCTTAATGCTCTCCGGCTAGAACAAGTGGCTGTGGGACCAGTTGAAATCGCACCTGGTCCGAACCCCTTCAACCCCTCACCCTGCCGGTTCACTGTGGCCCAGATGGGTTCGCCCAGTCATCAAATGGAGAGACACGATGGCCCACGCCCCTTACATCTCCCTCTCCTGTTGCTCCCTTCTTCAACGCCCTTCCCCTTCCCCTCACCTGCCGGTTCACTGTGGCCCAGATGGGTTCGCCCAGCCATCAAATGGAGAGAAACAGGTGCAGTGGCTGGCAGGAAGGGGAAGGAGTTGGCAACTATGACTACTTTTGAGGCGTCTCAAAATCCCTTCCCCTCACCTGCCGGTTCACAGTGGTCCAGATGGGTTCGCCCAGCCACCATCTCGGGTCGACATTCCCAGGCGAGAACACGTCGCTGTGGTTGGAGGGGAGGCGGAACTTTGTTTGCCAGAATACCCCACACCCCTTGCCTTTCCCTCTCCTGTTTCATTCCCTCTTCAACGCCCTTCCCCTTCCCCTTACCTGCCGGTTCACAGTGGTCCAGATGGGTTTCGCCCAGCCACCATCTGGGTTCAACATTCCCAGGCGAGAACAACGTCGCTGTGGTTGGAGGGGTTGTGGAGCTTGTTGGTGTTGATTCCCCACACCCCTGACCTTTCCCCCTGCCCTCCCCACCCCCTCACCTGCCGGTTCACAGTGGTCCAGATGGGTTCGCCCAGCCACCATCTGGGGTCGACATTCCCTGGTGAGAACACGTCGCTGTGGTTGGAGGGGAGGCGGAACTTGTTGGCGATGATGCCATGCGATGCAGGGAGGAGGCCCGTTGCCATGGAGTGGTGCGAGGGGAAGGTGAGCGAGGGAAAGACGGGCAGCATGCCATGCTCTGCGAATGTACCTTCTGCCAGCATCCTGAGGGACAGTGCAAATGGGGGAGGGTGGAGAAAGGGGTTGGGGAGCAGGCCCGTGGCCATGGAGTGGTGCGAGGGGAAGGCTACGGAGGGGAAAACGGGTGGCATGATAGCGACCCGTGCTCTGCGAATGTTCCTTCAGCTAGCATCCTGATGTGCAGGTGGTATAGAGCAGAGTACCATCTTAAAGCCGACCAAGTGCGGGCTGGCCACCCATGCATGTGTTTCCTTCCACTAACTCCCCATGCGTAGGCGGATGGGTTGTGTCCGCTTTAAGATGGTACCCATGTCGCAACCCATCAGAGGACACGAGGATCTCTGTAGGCTGCCCTCCCAGACTTGTCCTCCCATGCGTGCCCTTTCACACCCCCCCCCAACCTATTCAGATGAGTAGTGTAGGCTTTAAGATGGTACCCGTGTCTGAACCCATCAGAGGGCACGAGGATCACTGTGGGCTGCCCTCCCAGACTTGTCCTCCCATGCGTGCCCTGACATGCCTGCCCGCCATGCTTGCCCTTCCACACACACCAGCCAACCTGTTCAAATTCGGTGCGTTGGCTTTGAGGTCGTACCCATGTCGAACCCGTCACCGTGGGATGCCCTCCCAGCACGCCTGTGCTTCCATGCATGCATGCCCTCCCAGCGCGCCTGTGCTTCCATGCATGCATGCCCTCCCAGCGCGCCTGTGCTTCCATGCATGCCCTCCCAGCGCGCCTGTGCTTCCATGCATGCCCTCCCAGCGCGCCTGTGTGCTGTGCTTCCATGCATGCCCTCCCAGCGCGCCTGTGCTTCCATTCCATGCATGCCCTCCCAAACCTGTCTCCCACACCTTCCGCCGACCTGTTCAAATTCGGTGTGTCCGCTTTCAGGTGGTAACCGTGCCTGGACCCATCATAGGACCCAAGGAGGATCACTGTGGGCTGCGCTCCCATGCCTCATCTTCCCACACTTTACCTTCCCACACCTTTCTCCTACCTGTTCAGATTCGGTGTGTCAGCCTTGAGGTGGTACCCGTGCCTGAACCCGTCAAACGACACGAGGATCACTGTGGGCTGCCCTCCCAGCGCGCACCTTCCCTGCCTGCCTGGCCAATCCTATGCCACACACCGTCTTCCTACCTGTTCAGGTGTGGACTGTCGGCTTTCAGGTGGTACCCGTGCCTGAACCCGTCAAAAGACACGAGGATCAACGTGGGCTGCCCTCCTAGCGCGCCTGGCCACCCATGCTTGCCCTTCCACACACCCACGCCTACCTGTTCAGACTTGGAGTGTCGGCTTGAGGTGGTACCCATGTCTGAACCCGTCAAAGGACACGACAATCACCGTGGGCTGGCCCCCCATGGCTGCCCTCCCATGCGTGCCCTCCCATGCGTGCCCTCCCATGCGTGCCCTCCCATGCGTGCCCTCCCATGCGTGCCCTCCCATGCGTGCCCTCCCATGCGTGCCCTCCCATGCGTGCCCTCCCATGCGTGCCCTCCCATGCCTGCCCTCCCATGCGTGCCCTCCCATGCGTGCCCTCCCATGCCTGCCCTCCCATGCCTGCCCTCCCATGCCTGCCCTCCCATGCCTGCCCTCCTACACTTACCACACTTCCCAGACGTGGCCCTGTACCTGTTCAGATTCGGAGAGGCCAGCCTTGAGGTGGTACCCATGTCTGAACCCATCAAACGACACAAGGATCACCGTGGGCTGCCCTCCCATGTCTGCCCTCCCACACTTGCTACACTTCCCACACGTGCCCCCTTACCTATTCAAATTCGGTGTGTCAGCTTTCAGGTGGTACCCGTGTCTGAACCCGTCAAACGACACGAGGATCACCGTGGGCTGCCCGTCCAGCGCGCCTGTGGGGGAGGGCGGAGGGCCCCCGCCCCCGTCAAATGCGGAGGAGCAGGAGGCGTGCGAGTGGGACGTGAGGAAGATGGCGAGGGCGAACCCCAGGACCACTGGAGGGCGGGGTGGAGAGGGGTGGGATGGGATGGGATGGGATGGGATGGGATGGGATGGGATGGGATGGGATGGGATGGGATGGGATGGGATGGGATGGGATGGGATGGGGTGGGATGGGATGGGATGGGATGAGATGGGATGGGATGAGAGGAGTGGAACAGCGTGAGAGGCAAGGATTGGGGGGAGGGCTTTCCTCGTACGTCCAGCGCGGGGGAGCGGGAGCGGACAGGTATCAGACGCGGACTTGAGAAGAACGCGGCGGCCATGGCCATCGTGGCGAACGGCCAGGTCGGGCTTGCAGGCATGTGCTGTGCGCGAGGAAGTCCGCTCCCGGCATCATGGATTAGTGGTCGTTGCTAAAAGAGCAGGCAAATCAGGCTGGCAGGCTGGCAAGAAGCTGACCTGAGAAGAACGCGACGGCCATGACCATCGCAGCGAACGTCCCGAGCCGTCCCGAAAGGATCGAACGACGAGACTGTTTATGGCGGTGACCGACATACACGTCATCCTCCACGCTTTCCACGTCATCATCGCTGCCACTGCAGTCGCCATCGGCCTCCCGCTTCTCCTCGTTTGGAATTAAGCTGTGCTCCACCGGACTAGGAGACGGGCTGGATCCCGATAATCCCGCCGGCATTTGCGCTTTGCTTAGCATAGCTAGCTGCTCGGAACTTTTCGGTGTGGACATGATTTTTCTAATATATTGTACAATGAATATGTATGAAACAGATGCTGTGGAACGTATAATACCGAGTCAGCTGTTTTGTTTAGAAAATCGTAGTGGCGATGGTCACAGTGAGTTTTGAGGCGTCTCGAAACCGTTGTGACAGCTATAGTCTCAATGCCGTAATATTTTACAGCTACACGAGAGACAAGCTAGGTGAACCCTTCGAGACGTCTCGGAACCCGCAATAATATGCAGATTTACGGGAGGTGGAGATAACACTTCCAGTCTTGCCACACCATCAGACACAATTCAGCCTTGGCACGGATCCACCATGGACCCAGCGGAGGGGAAAGAGAGACCAAGAAACGAGGAGCCAAGTCAGCCGAGTTGTTGTAACCAATCAGGTCAAAGAGAATCTAAAGTCGCATCAAGGGGACGGTGTTACCTTGGTTTCGGACCTTGGGATCTCCAACAGAGGCGAACACCATAGACGAACTCAGCGAAGCACTCTCCAGGCTTCCATGACGAACTCCTGCCGTCTGTCACGAAAGCCGAGGCGAGAACGGACGAATTATTTCATAAAAGCGACGTCCAACGACTGCGTGCAAAGCAAAGTAACGCTTGGCATTCACTCGCAGGGCTAGCAGAGCCACAAAAGTCAACCTGAAGCTTTCCGATCCTTTCACGAAAAGCTTGTTTCGTCAGGGCGCATTGTTTCGACGAAAAGCTTTCCGATCCTTTCACGAAATAAAGTACCCAGTTAACTCACTCGTTAACCAAAAATTCTCGCCAAACATTCTTTCTCTTCCAACACTGCTCGTCTCTCGTCTCCCCCCAACAACGACTACACAACTGTTTCCTGGTGGTACAGTACTTCAACAAATCACATATGTATTTGCTCCACATCAGATACGTGTCCTGGCATCACTGCTTTCATACCGACACACTCACTATCGCGAATAGTCAATCCAGCGAGTAATCAGCAGATGATGCCGGCAGCTAAGAGCACTACCTATCGGCGATCGCGACTCGGCCAGCAGGCTTCTGACGTCAGCACCCAACCGATCGCCGAGGGCAGCAGCAAGAGCAAGAGCGCTGACGTCAGCACGAGCGCGAGAGCGAGGGACAGCGATGGCACCGCGGCGAAAGTGGCGGAGTACGAGCGATTTGTGGAGGAACGATTGAAAGTGGACTTACAGGCAGCGATGGAAGACAGGTGCGTGAGTGTGTGGGTATTATTGAGGCAGCTTGTAAAGGGGAACCGGTGGCGAAGGTAGCGGAGTACGAGCGGTTCGTGGAGGAGCGGTTGAAAGTGGATTTACAAGCAGCGATGGAAGATAGGTGCGTGTGTTATACTGAGACAGCTTGTAACGGGGATATGGGGGCGGAGGTGGCGGAGTACGAGCGGTTCGTGGAGGAGCGGCTGAAGGTCGATTTTCAGGCAGCGATGGAGGACAGGTGCGTGTGCGCGTGTTTGTATGCCATTGCTGCCGCTTATCGAAATGTATGACTGGGAAGGTAGGGAGGGAAAAAAAAGGGGGGGAGGAGCTGCTACGCAGCGAGGGAGCAAGTCGAATTTGACGAGCATCCTTGTATGACGCTGGAGGGAGCTTGCGTGCAACGAGGTCCTGATTTGCTCCTGTTCTGCCTATACGCTGCTTGGTCGACTCCTGGGAGTCTGATTCGCTGGTTGGCCCTCGCCAAGTTCAGATGCCACCCCGCGTCCTTGGATCAGAGTTCGCATGGGAATTCACATCAGAACAAGACTAGGCTACTTTGTGGTGATTGTGATGAAGGAGACATGAATAGGCATCCGTGTGTGATTGTGATGAAGGAGACATGAATAGGCATCCGTGTGTGATTGTGATGAAGGAGACATGAATAGGCATCTGTGTGTGATTGTGATGAAGGAGACATGAATAGGCATCCGTGTGTGATTGTGATGAAGGAGACATGAATAGGCATCCGTGTGTGATTGTGATGAAGGAGACATGAATAGGCATCCGTGTGTGATTGTGATGAAGGAGACATGAATAGGCATCCGTGTGTGATTGTGATGAAGGAGACATGAATAGGCATCCGTGTGTGATTGTGATGAAGGAGACATGAATAGGCATCCGTGTGTGATTGTTGCGCTTCTATTCACGCTGAGACCTCATGGGCCATTCATGTCTCCTTCTATGCCGATTCTGGTGCCTTTGTGTGCTGTGACAATGCGTGTGGGTTTGTGAAGGCATGTGTGCTGTGACGTATGTGTGTGCGTGCATGTGTGCACGTGTGAGTGATCGTGTGCGTGTGAGAATGTGTGTGCGTGTTCGAGTGCTTGTACGTGTGTGTATATGTGTGTGTGTGTGTGTTTGTGTGTGTGTGTGTGCGTGCGCGCGTGCGTGCGGGCGTGCGTGCGTGCGTGTGTGTGTGTGTGTGTGTGTGTGTGTGTGTGTGTGTGTGTGTGTGTGTGTGTGTGAGTGTGCGTGCCCGTGCGAGAGTGCATGGCGGTATCCGCAGGCACAAGGTCCAAGAAGAAATCCAAGTCTTGTACGCTCTTTCTTCCCCTCAAATCCTCTCGCCTCTCCTTGGAGTTGCAGGGTGTTTCTGAGAATTCTCAAAAACACCCTGCAAGTACACCTGTTTACTAATAACAGCACCTGCAAGTACAATGCAAGTACAATGCAAGTACAATGCAAGTACAATGCAAGTCTAGTGCGCTCTCGCTTCCCCTCCCCTCCCCCTTCTCCCCCACCCTCTCTCCTGCCCCCCCCTTTTCCACCGATCCCTGCCTTGCCAGTTTTTTTCCCTTTTTAGGGTTGCGTTGTCTACTGCATATACATCATAGCATGGCAAATTGTATATTCTAGACTGCCTCAAGCCCGATTCTTGCATTTTTTCGCACGTATTGCATTCCCATCTATTGTCCCATCATACTCGATTCGCTCTCAGTACTTCCTTCATTCATCCTCAATGTGTGCTATCCATGTCACACACAATACATGATCCATTCAGCATGAGTCATCATACATGATGTTTTATCCTCGTTACAGTGAGGAGCTGGTGCGCAATATCGAGGCGCTGGAGGAGAATGGAGTGGAGGAGATGAGGGCGATGGTCAACCTGGGGGGGGAGACGTGTTCGTGCAGGCAGACGTGTGAGTGGGTGGGTGTGGGGATGAGAGGTGCGCAGATGGGTTGGGAGAGGTGTAGCGCTAGTTCCAGGAGTGGAGGAGATGAGGGAGATGGTCAACTGGGGGGGAGCGGTGTTTGTGCAGGCAGACGTGTGAGTGGATGGGTGTGTGGCTGTGTGAGGGAGGGGAATTGGGGGGACGTGTGCTGATGGTTGAGGAGGGGGAGAGAAATTCATTACTGTGCTGGGGGACATGCATTTGTGTCAGTGAGGCTGGGGTTTCATGTAGAGTTCACTGGCTTGACTCTGAAGATGCTGTTGACCCTGTTGACCCTGTTGACGACTCCCAGATACGATCACAGATTTGTCTCAGTGCGCCTGGGCTTCCACGTGGTGTTTTACCGGCTTAACTCCAGAGATGCTGTGACTCTGTTGACCCTGTTGACCTGTTGACTCCCGTTGACTCGCATCGACCACAGGCCAGACACGTCGCACATGTTCACCTCAGTGGCGCTGGGCTTCCCAAGTAGATTACACCCGGTTTATCCTTGACTTTATTGACTCCCATTGACCACAGGCCAGACACGTCGTACATATTTGTCTCACTGGGGCTGGGCTTCCACGTGGAATTCACCCGCCTTGACTCTCTTGACTCTGAAGATGCTGTTGACGCTGTTCACCTTGGTGACTCCCGTTGACTCCCATTGACCGCAGCCCGGACACGTCGCACATATTCGTGGCAGTGGGGCTGGGCTTCCACGTGGAGTTCACCCGCCTTGACTCTGAGGGCTCTGTTATCATGTTGACCCTGTTGACTCCCGTTGACCACAGGCCTGACACGTCACACATATTCGTGGCAGTAGGGCTGGGGTTCCACGTGGAATTCAATCAGTTTCACTCGGGGAACATGTCATTTTCCTAAACCCTATTGACTCCTGGCCAGACACATCACACATATTCGTGTCGGTGGGGCTGGGCTTCCACATGGAGTTCACCCGTCTTGACTCTGAAGATTCTGTTGACTCTGTTGACCCTGTCAACTCCCGTTGACTCCCATTGACCACAGGCCGGACACGTCACACATATTCGTGGCAGTGGGGCTGGGCTTCCACGTGGAGTTCACCCGCCTTGAAGCCAAGGAGTTTGCCGCCTCCAAGGTCGAGCATTTGAGAAAGTGAGTGGCGGTGATGGTGCTTCACACAGCAACGGGACGTGATGTATGTATCATGACAAGCGTGTGATTTTATCGTTGAATTCTGCCCAGTTTTTTTTACCCTTCTTAACATCCCTCTTTTCATGTATAGTAAATTTTATTCTTTCCTCTATTCTTCTCCATACCTCCCCGCCCCCACTCCCCACCCCCCATCCTGCTCCCACTTCATGCTTCAGCCCCCAAACCCCATTGCTTATAGTGGAAAGAACTAGTAACCCCCTGCCATCCCCCTCCCCACTTACTCAGTTCCCCTCCCCATACCCGTTCCTCCCTTGACGAGTCAAAGATCCCCAATTTTGCATGGTGACTATGTGCATGGTGACTATGTGCATGCAGGCAAGTTGCACGGCACACAGAGAGAATATCATCCATTAAAGCCCACATTAAGCTGGTGAGCATTGGGTTGGGCGGGGCTGCTTACGGTACTCAAACTGGGTTGGGTGGTGTGGTGACTGTTGGGTCGATTAAAAAACGCAGGGTGCATGGTATCATCCATTAAAGCCCACATCAAGCTGGTGAACATTGGGCTGGGCTGGGCTGCTTTATGGTACTCAAACTGGGGTGTTTGGGTGATGTGAATGTTGGGTCGTTTTAAAAAAAAACAGGGTGCATGGTACACGGAAAGAATATCATCCATTAA